GTTTTACAACGTCGTTGCCAAGCGACGAAAACCCAACCCCGATGGCACACACCGGGGGGGGGTGGTGATGTGTCAGGAAGTCTGCTACTGGGGTGCAGATGTGTGTACCTTTGCGATAGGAACCTGAACAAAGCTAAGGGCCACGGCGCCGTGGGCAGCGTGCGCCATTCATCGCGACCCCCAAGCACGTGAAATCACCCGGAGTTGATCGAGAGTGAGAGCATCACTCCGGAAGTAAACTCGAGCGTGAGACAAGCGGTGGTTCGAATGGGAAACCACAACATCAGCCCCAGCTCAAGCCGTGGAAATAACAGTCACCTTCGTGATAACCTCAACGCTTAACATACACCGATGACCATTCAACAAAATTACCGGCAAAATCCTGTCCAATGGAATCACACTTCACCCAAAACTTGCTGGCAAATACCGGCCCCTATCAAGGGACCCTAGCTGGATCTGGATTAACCTACGTTAACATTAGAGAGCGAAACAAACCATGATTCCCCCCGTTTAAACATCAAGGCCACGTAAGAAAGAATGCCAGGGAAACTCACTTGAAGCCTCGACACGGCGGGGACGCGAAGACCGATGGCCAGCCCCCACTCTCCCGTCACCACCTCCATGAGGCGGGTCAGCCGCACTCCGTCCCGTAGGTCGACGGCCAGGTTGCTCACGTGGAAATCGAACTCGTCTGCCGGGGACAGCACGTCCAAACGCCATCACACCACCGCCATCATCGCCACCGCCACAGGCGACAGGGCACCATCATGACACATGCTGACGAGTGGGTCACTGTCTTGAGAAGTGGAACAAGTGTGTTTTCTCAAATATAATCATACTCCAATATTCAGAATTGCTGGCTTCGAACCACGTGCTGCTGTGTACTGCCACACCACAACCCAGGGAAGCCCAATGAAGGACGAGCTTCCTATACCATCGTCTCTTCCTCTTCCCCGTGCGCTGCACCACCACAAAACTCGCGGAGCCCCTCACCTATGTACGACTGCACGTGCCCAACGACGTATCCCATCTTCTTGAGGTGCCGCACGAAGTCTCCCTCTCCGTGCAGGAACTGGCAGAACACCTTCAGCATGCCCACGCTAGACTTCACCTGACGAAACGATAATGAGACACGGAGGCCCCGCCGCACGTCGGCACCGACGGTGAGGGAGCCTGGCATTGAAACTCGCGAGGTGACATCGAAGCCGCCTAGAACAGCAAACAAGGACATATGGGATGAGCTGGGTGGGAATGCATGGGTTATGTTGGTGGCCTGCCCGGCCATTGGGGATCAAACATCGGGCTCATATCCTTTCGGGAAAAGCAGCTCCGACATACCTCGGCGGTCTTGCGGAAGAGACAAGGGCACGGATGCAGGAGGTTCTCGGCCTGAAACACGGAGAGAAGCAAGGCCAAAAAGAAAACCGCCATGGACGGGACGAAGCAACGGCAGAGAGGAAATTACATCAGTAACATGGCGCCGCAACACGCGGAGAGTAATCAACGAACAAGCAAACCGCTCACCGATTCTTGTCCTTGACACCCACGTGAAAACAGAGCGACCAACGAACACGAGTAGAAGGTGTGAACCCTAGGTAGGCACATGCGTTTGTCTTCATTTGTTACCGTTTCTGTCTTCAGTCCGGAGAGTGTCCTAACTTCCCCCTCGACCCCCCCCCTCACGGGATCCCAGGTCACGGCCTCGTTTTCTGTATTTTTCGCCGCAACGAGACTGACGTGCCTTCATTGGTCAGCCGGTTAGCGCGCCCGATGCCAACAACAACCAACACAGGAAGGCTGACTCATCAAACCTACTCTGCTGTGTGTCTTCGTATGCCAGGTGGCTTGCGGTAGCTACGATCGACGATTTGGCTCCCTTACAACCATGGCCTCCAGAAGCATTTTCTGTACTAAACTGCACTGAGACTGGCGCACCCTCATCGGTCAGCCGGTTAATGCGGTTGATGCTATCAACAACAATAAAACACAATACGCACACACCTTAGCCCGGTCGAGGAAAAGCACCAGATCCAGGAAGTGCGTCAGCGCGTGCCGGCCTAGCTCGTCGTTGTACTCCACCTCCGACGCGCCGCTCGCCACGCGACCCCGGAACCCATACCTTGCCTTCATCTCCGGGCACTTGACCAAGCGCTGCTCGTGCAGGCACAACGCACATCGCGGCCGGCGGGCGACAAAAAAGCGACGCCACGACAAGAGCACCGCGCAAACGCGTCGCGCGGAAGACGGGTCGGCTGGGCTGAGCTCAAGAGGAAACATGTTGCGGTCACATAGCGCTTAAGAGTCACTTCGTTGTCGATTCAAGTGCTGCGAGATCCACCAACACCATATGGATACACATCCGAGAGGGAGGGCGGGGTCAGAGACGGAGAGAGAAGGGCAGGGAAACAATTGATAAAAAAAAAAAACGCATGACATACAGAAAGATGCACAAGACGGCTACCAAACTGTACTGTTGAGCCTGTTACCCACAGGGGAGATATCGCTGGGTGCTGCTCGGGAAACCGTGAAAATACAGGCAGCTTCTTCTGACGCTATAAATAAATTGCAAATCTATCTTAAACTCTTCTCCTAGATAGAGATGGATTCGTTGGGTCATAATACAAAAAAAAAAAAAACACACACACACCTCGGCCACGAACGTCCTGAGGGCGCGGTCCACCCTCCCGCCGGCCTTCGTCCTCGCCGCCGCCGGCACTCCGCCAGCCGGCATCGGCACGATCTCCCCGAACACCGTCTCCAAGCCGAGCAGCAGCCAGCGCGGCTCGTAGCACAGCACCAGGTCGATCAGGGCCCCGCTGAGCCCCACGTCCGCGTGGAGGACGCGGTCCCTCCGGAGCGAGATCGTGCCGTCGTAGGCCCTGTCCGCGACGGCTTCCGTTGCCGTGCGGACCTCCACGGAGCGAAACAGCCGCATGGCCCTCACGCGCTGCCTAGCTTCGTGACGCTATTATTGTGTTGTGCGCGTGTTTTTGTTTTCATCGTTCCGCGGTTGTTGAAGACATATGTTTTTAATATGTGTTTGCGTGTGGGCCGGTTTTTGGTTGGGTTTTTAGGTCGTGCCGGGGGTATGTATGCCCGCATCACAGGCACGAGTAGAGAGACAAATACAGAGGGGGGGGAGGGTCACAGCAGCAGCGGCAGCAGGAGGGGACGCACGAGGGAACGGTGAATGGGTCATTGAATGAGACGGAAAGGTCGCTACACAATTATCAGTATTACGTCACCCTGCAACACTGTGTGGGGTTGCACGAGAGCACGTTCATTCTTCACCACCAATACCGACGACGAAGGTTTCTACAGAGACCAACTTTTTCGCTAAACCGAAGGATAAGAGTTTGAGAGACTCAAGGCCGAAAAGGTAAGACAGAGGGATCTACGAAAGCTAGACCTTGATAGTGCTTAACTTGGCGATCGACTTCCATAACTCCCCCCCCCGGTCCAAAACCCCTCAATCCTCCCTGGCTTAGCCATCTACTTCCACCAACACTTCCCGTCAAAAGGCCCATTTCGTCGTTTCTCACCATGGCAACCATGGCCTTAAGCGGGCTTGACGAAACCCCCCCAATCTCCGCGGTAACACCCCCGTCTTCCTCTTCCCCGTCATCGCCGGCCCCATGCCTGAGCTGCTCCGCTCCGACGAGCGTAAAGTTGAGCCAGTTCGTAAACCCGGCAGTCTGTTTTTCGGCCCAGCCCTTGTCGCTCAGCGACTTGCGCAGCAACGTCGCTTTTGAGCCGCCGCCTTCCTCTCCGGCGCTGGCGCCGCCATCCGACTGTGCCGAGGCGACCGGACAAACAATCGAAGACGGCGAGAATGTTTTCGGCGGCGAGAGGATCAATGTCAAGGTGCGTGTGTTGTATTAGTATGAGTTGTAGACCTATTATAGTCATGGTTTCTTGGGTCGAAGGGGGACTGATGTTGAACTGAACTACTTGTAGCAATTGTAATTGACCTGCACGAGCGGTGGCTGGCTCAGGATGGAGAAAGCGAATGCTTTGCGGAATCGGGGAAAAGCGGATAGCTGACAAGGAGTTGTTGTGCCACACACCAAAACACCGGTAGACAAAGGGCAGAAAGCCTGATGTTGAAGCGCCCTCCGAAAACGCAAGCTGCCGGGGGTCCGACAACACAGAGAGCACGCATGGCTAGTACCGCCGGTTTCGTCTCCTGTGTCACTGCTGCCACTGCATGTGTTCGTGTCATTCGCCCAGCCCCCTGAACCAAACACACCATCCGTGATCCGTCCTGTGGGAACAATGCCCCGTCCTCTCGACTACACGTGGGCAGTGGTCCAACAACTAAGACATGCAAACCATGAGTACCCCCCCCGCCCCCCCGCGAACCACACTCCGCCACATCGAAAAGGTCGCACCGCACTACCTCCGTAAACAACGAAAAAAAACACGCACACACACTCACACAGCTACCCACCTTCCCACGCTTGTGGCCCGGCTTGAGAGCAAGCCTCCTTGACTTGGAGTACTTGAGCATCTGCTGCCGCTTGTTGTTGGCCGTGCGAGGGCACAGAGCGGCGGCGGAAGAGTCGGGCGCCGGCCCCAGCACCGACGCTCCCGGCGGCAGCGCGGTGGAGCTGAGGCTCAGGCGGTTCTCCTTGCCATACATCTGAGGTTTTCGTGCAATCCAGCGCAACGCCCGACGAGGTGGATTGTGCTTAAGGGCGACGTGCGGCGGTACCGGGGGGGGAATACGAATACCGCTGCGTGATGATTGTTCTGCGACAGAGGTATACCACCAACACGGGTGGGGATGGGTGAAAGCAGGTGATACCAGGCAGCGCCTGGAAACGCGATTACTTGCACGTGACTCAGGATACAAGTCAGCTAACGGCGGCATCCCGATAGGTTTCATCACAGATAGTCCTTTGGACACTTCCGACGTAACAGTCGTCCAGAGGTTGCGCTCTGCCTCATAGCACTCAATACACCTCGGTGCCCGCGCGTCTTCAGGACAAACGTTCCTGCCGCCAACTTACACCGCTCTCCATGAGACCGACAACAACGACGCTTCCATGAATGCAATGAAAGCGAGTCGGTCCGAGAACAGCACCGCTCCGCTCGCCCGGGCACACCCAGCACGCAACACAAGCACGGGTCTCACCCCAGACACACAACCCCCCACACGACAGGCCACCGCCCCTCACCGAAGTATGGGGTCCCGCCCCCCTTGACGCAGCCTCCTGCGACAAAGACCTCCCGGCGCCGGCCCCAACGGGTAGTCCTCTGACCCTCTTCCTGCCCTGGCGGGCGTCGCCCTTCCTCCTCTTGCCCCCACCCCCGACGTCTACGGCCTCCCCAACCACCGACACTTGGGCGGGAAAGCGGCCGTCTACCTTGAAGGCCAGGTTGCCTCGGAACTTGCCGCTCCGCTCGGGCCGCCAGGCAACGTGCACCTCGCGAAACTTTTTTTTTGGGTCGTTTTCGTGTTTTTTTTTTTGCGAGAGTTGACCAAAGGATATATCGGCCACAGCAGCACCAAGCGGCCAATGGGGTAACAGGGATGGGAGTGTCAGGAAGGGCATAAGTAGCGGGAACAACATCGTTCAGAGCATCAGCAGTCTATATTTTTATTTGCGTAACCGCTGCTTTTCACAACGGATTCCAACCATCGCTCCCCCTCCCTTCCTGCTGGCTCACCTCTCCCCGCTCCAGCGACAGCTCTCCGTCGAAGTCGGCTACCTCTAACCCGCCGCAGAGGGGGTGCCTGGGATCGAAGCCAATCGTGGTCACCGCCTTCCTGGTGCCCTCTGGCACCTCGATCCTCAGCGTTGCACCCTTGCCTTCGCCCACCTAACGTGGAGCCATGTTGTGTGTACATGTAGGCGTGGACGCAGGCCAACAGAGTGGGGGGCCGAGTGTGAGAAACGTGCCATGTGAAGCGACTGCTGTGTTGCCATTGGCTGCGAGTACAACAGGTACGCTTGATCTTGAGAGAAAGGCGAAAGGGCAGGGTGTGCGGCGGTAGACCCAGTGAGTGCAGAGTTACACGGTGACACCTCCGCTGACTCTTTACAACACCTACGTTCGTGATTGGACACAGCACACTACTATACACAACCCCGCAAACACAGGGCGGATCTGCAGCGGATTTTCGTAGCGCACCACACATCATCAGCGCTGACTTCGCAATCGAAGGCCACAGAGGTATATTGTGCGCCTATGGTACAACCGAGGTTCTTCCTCTCCACACACACCCCCCCCCCCCCCCCCCCCCCCCCCCCCCCCCCC